TCAGAAATGTCAAAATCAAAATCAATATCAAATATACGTTTATATCAATATATAAGAGAAAAATGTAAAACAGCTATTGTTGAACAAAAATCAGATAAAAACAGTGTAAGTTCACCTTACCAATAGTTTTTTATTGTTGGATTGTTAATGGATTTTCCTAAATTTAGGTACATTGAAATCATTCTTTTTCTAATTCTGAAGGTTTCATTCGTACCAGTCTCAAATATTTTTTTGTCAAACTAATTTTGACAATAACAGAAATGCATTTAGAATTTCTGCTTTTTGCAGTAACTATTTTTTGAAATTCGACAATTATTTCGCCAAAAACTAATGATTCACCGACGTTCGAACGACCGACATTTGAGCGACTACAAAACACTAGTTTCAAAGGTCTTGGTAAATATGTTTGCTGATTTTTCAGACATTATAATGTAATTGAAAAGGATCCAAAGTAGTCGGTTCGAACTAGCATTTGATGCTCTTCCTAAATATATCTTTAGAATTTTGCTTTGACTTACGACCAGTTAGCTGTAAGCAAATACCAGAATCGATAAAAAATGTCGTTTGCACCACGCAAATAGGCTTTTCTCCTCTCATTTGTAATTTCTCTAAAGGGTATTCTGAGATACTTTTTAGTTCCTATTGCTGTAGAGAATTTATGTTCTACAAAATCATGGGTTGCAATAAGCAAGAACTCAAAAGAATCAAAAGCTAGAAACATTTTTCGAAATGCTGCTCTTTACGTGAGATGATATTTCTCAAAATAATCCTTTTTTTCGATTTTCGGGATTAAAATGCAACAGATTCTGATAGTTTGCAACGATATGTAGAAAGCAATGCAAATTAGGCATTTTGTAGAGCAATCTTCGCTCTACAATCTCATGTATAAAAACACTACCTTAAAAGTTGAATTGAGACGGTTTTAATCAAAATACAAAAATGGACTGCATGAAATATTCTGTATAAATATCATTTTTGGTCCCATTAACATAAACATAAATTCTTTATAGCAATAGAAACCAAAAAGTATCCCAGAATACCCTTTAGAGAAATTACAAATGAGAGGAGAAAAGCCTATTTGCGTGGTACAAACGACATTTTTTATCGATTCTGGTATTTGCTTACAGCTAACTAGTCGTAAGTCAAAGCAAAATTCTAAAGATATTTAAGAAGTGTACAGGGGTTATCTACTAGTTTTCACTATGCTAGTTCATGCTTCGGATACATGGTACAATGTACATTTTCGACTTTTATCACTCTTTACGTTAATGATACGAAAGATTGCCACTAAGCTATTTTTTATAGAAAGAGATCTTTCTTTGAAAAAAGCTCTTGTCTATGAAATAAGAAATGATGCACGAGTTAAAACATCCATCTGTTGATTGAATATTATATATATTTTTAAATATTAAATATTTAACTTTTTTTTATTGTGAATCAGTTTTTTCTAAAAATTTATGATTGTTTTGTTTTACTTCTAGTCTCAAGATGTTGAAAAATGGATTGTAATGATTGCTAAAGATCCATTATTAAAAAGTTTACTTATTGAAGATATTGAATTTAAAGAAACACATTTACAATTAAAACAAAAACAAGATGAAGAAGACAAACGTATGGATGAAGAAACAGTTAGACAATGTCCAAAATGTACACAAAATTATATACCAGCTAAATCGAACTATGGTGATTGTTGTTATCATGATGGATTTGTTTATGATTTAGATACACAAGAACGATTAACCGGTGATCAAGCACGAGAAAAAGTACAACAAATAAAATTAGCCAATAGGAGACAACAACAACAACAACAATTACCAAAGCTTGAAACAAATTTAATATGGGCATGTTGTTTGACACTAGCTGACGATCAAATATATGCATCACCATGTCAACGAGGAGCTCATGGTTTACCAGATGAATTAGGAAATTTAGATTTAACATATGATCCAATTGCAATTGTACAAGAACATTTTTCGAAAAATACATTAGCATCAAAAAAATTAGATAGGTTTTTACAAAATCAAAAACACCGACCTGTTCAATCAAAAACTACATATAGTGCTGGAAAAAGATGATGATACAAATCTAACCTTGAACAAATAATCTAATATTAGTTCTTTTTGTATTTTTTTAATAATTTTCAAAGTAAAAATATGTTATTTGAAGATAGATTATTTTCTTGCTTAATATTAAAATGAACTAGGAAAGGTGGAAATGAAAGGTTGACAATAGTGGACATAAAAATAAAAATTGGACTATCTAAAATGAACTTTTCGATTATGATTTGAATCTGTTCAATTCAAAGTTTTAAATACTCAAGAGAACGAAAAAACATCCAAACTTCAAAACCTTCTCGTTCCGTGCTAAACAAAAGACGGTGAATGAAGCTTTCTGTAGTGCCGATAACCATAACCGTAATTTCTGCTCTTTTACTTTTTCTAAAGATGGACGATGCGTATGTAGAGAGATATGTGACAGGCCAGTTCAAATCTAGGGCAGTTTGAAATCTCCGTAGAGCAGATTAAAATTATAATTTGCACTAGGGAAGATTAAATATCCAGCAATTTCAAGGCAGTGTGGAGACATATCCCGATCGGGATATACTCCCAATCGGGATATATATCCCGATTGGGATATCATTTTTTGCAGCAAAATTTTTTTTATATCCCGAACGGGATATAGTTTGAAATTATATCC